TCCACAGTAGGGCCGTCTTGCAGTCAGGTGTCAGCAACAATTCAGAGACGAACGTCACCGCTCACATGGGAGAGACTGTGTTCCTGCCCTGTCGGGCCAGAAGCGTGGGCGACCGAACGGTGAGTACTATTATCGTCAGCCTGTGCACAAAGCGTCAATTCTTGGCCGGGGTCGATTTGCATGTTGTTTCGCGATTGCGATGCCATTCAAGGTTATCCCGAGAGGAAACAAAAAACCGGATCATAGAACAGCAGTGCCAATTCCGACGCGGCAGTATTTCCGTATCGCTTCCATTAATTGGCATAAATTCCCAGACCAACTTGGAGGCAATGCCGGAAGGAATCTGATTCTCATCTCATGTACTGTATTCTTATCTCACTTGGGAATACTTTGTACAAGAGGGCCACGAGAAAAATGTCGAGGGATCCTGGAGAAAAAAGCGCCAAGTTGAGAAAATTTGAGAATCTTCTCGAATTTCGTTTCTTTATATTGCCCTAAAAAAAGAGACCTCAAGCAAGTCCTAACAACAACAATTATCGGTAATAACAATCTAGCACATCAGAGGCAGCTGTAATTTTTCCACTGCTGATCTCGATTCAAAATAGTTTGAAGGTCATCTGTGATAGCGCGTCTCATATATACATTTTGGTAGTTCATACCTTCTTCACTACAATTTTTCTTCAATCAGTTTTACCTCAAGTATTCCTTCGAATCAATTCTCTCCAAAAGATTTCATCTTGTTGATATTGTTCGTGTAAAACAAAGTCACTACGACTTTCCCTTTATAAGTTATTTTACCGTCAACGAACTCTCTTCAATTGGGGCATTACCGACGTTGTTCGTTAACGTTTACCCGTTTCCGAACTTTGCTAAAAATAAGATTTTACAATTGTTTGTAAGATTCAAGCCATTGCGAGACATCCATAGAGCTGAAATTCACGATTCTTCCCGTGAAATGGTTCCTTGGGGTGAGAAAAATGTGCTGTCTTATTCGGTATACTGTAATGTTTTTTAAATGTTTTATGGCCTTCTTTCAGATGATGTTTTTCACTTGCATTGTTCTACATTTATTAAATGCCTGTTGCCCATGCGCAGTTCTGGACACGCGCTGTTTTGGCACTTTCAAACTGTCTGCTTTTATTGAGATTTAGGAATCTGAATGCTTTCGAATGACACGCTCAGATGAAGAAAACGTGTGTTTGATTTCCTGGTATAAGATCATGAGGAAAGCGTAAAGTATACACCAGGGTTAATAACTTAGCATTACTCCATAACATTCAAGTTCCATGCGCAACTTGAAATTCCGGATGAAATATTGCTAATTGCAGATCCTTTTTATGCAATTCGAGTGATGCGCCCGATGTTGTGAAACGCGTCCAGTGTAAAAAAATAAAAAAAAACTATGATTAAATACGCTATGGCTTTTTATATAGAAACTCCAGAATGGATCAGTGAGAACGGCACGATAATAATTTGTGTCTGCCTTCTCGGGTTGTCTTCATGTATCCACCATAGAATAAGAAATCCAAGAAAAAAAAATCAGGAGTGTGAATTGCGTAAAGGCGGAGTACTGAGCAGCCTGCAGGGAATGCCTCTCTATACGCGGTCGTGACCTAACCTCAGGGCACGCGACGGGTGGGGGGTAAAAAAAAAAAGAGAGCATCTTTCTTTCAACCATCACAACCCCGCAGTGTGAGGGGGTGGAAGGAAAGTCATTGAAAGCACTTGAACGAGTCTGCATCTGCTTGTTTGGAACTCTCCAGGCGAATTGGCTCTCCTCCAGCGGGTCCCCGGGGCACGGACGAATTTTCCCGGCGATCCCGGCCTGGGAACCGCTTCAAAGCCTAGACTCGATCATTTGATGTCACCGCTTGGATGATCACTCATTAAACCTATCCCCTCGCAGCTAGTGACGTCAAAAACAACCACAGGATGCCATGAACAATAACGAGTGTAGGGGGATTGCAGACACCCAGCACACAAAGACTGTGGAGAGAAAGGAGTCGAGCAATTCAGCCTGCATTCCGAAAAGAAGCGAAGCATGCCAGGGAAAATGAGGCTGCAATCCCGCGTGTTTCCTCTCATCACCAGCAGTGGAAGTTTTAAATGACAGGGTATAACCATTACAGTCAATGCTGACATGTTATCGCGGGAAATATGCAACCGTCAAAAATCTGTCGACGTTTGCTACATTGATTCAACGTTGCAGCATTACATCTTGACGGAGAAAATTGGGGAGAAACATGTTATTAATTTGTCTTATAAAACTTCAACCTGAGGAAAAATTGTCTGAGGATTTACACTCAAAACAGGGTGCCACGTATTCGAGGATACAACATGATGAAGTGACATAGAAAAAATTGTAATACTGTACATGATTGAACCTCCATAACTCGAACCTCCTCAAGTCAATTTTTTTACGTCCCCTTCTGACTTCCCTTAGAAACAATGCATTAAAGACCTCTCGAACTCGAAACGTTTTCCTCTCAAACCTCCATAAATAAAAATTTTTGAAGGATTTTGGCTACTATTTTCTTGACACAGGAAAGCAATAAAAAAGTAACTTCGTTTCAAAAGGTAGTGCAAGACCAATTGGACAAATAAACCCCTGCCTCCAATTCCAGTAAGGTGTAAACTCATTTAAGAAACAGTTTAAGGCCCAGAATATCACCATTCACAATTTTCTGCAATTCTTCCATGTTTCCCATAGCAAAAATGCTTCATTCCTAAACGCAAAACCTCCCTAACTCAAAACACCCCAATTTATTATTTTGTTGCTTGTCCATCTAAATTCGACTAAGAGAGATTTGACGTGTGATTAAAATCATTGGGATTTTACTAATTTGAAGCTCAATGATCGCATCAGACTCAAAAGCTGATGGGGAGACTAATAACTCTGAGACAGCTATTGCACATCAGGATAAATTGCCTACATGGGGCACGCGTCGACCAGGACAAACGAAAATCGACGATTTGTTTTGGACGACAGGCCAAAAAAAAAAAAGCTACCCAGCTTCTGCTTCATCTCGTCGCTGGCCTCGTCAATACGCATTACCGCAGTTTTAGGGGGGGGGGGGGTCTTTATCATTCTTTATCTCTTCTTAGTCTTCATTTTGTGCAGTCGGGTCGAACGGAAGAGTAGGAAAAACGTGACCGTATTTCGCCCGAGGAAAACCAACCCATGCCGTTATCACCGACACCGAAATAATGGGTCGCATAAATGTAACTGCTTTCTTGGAAGTTCATTTGTTCTTCTTTTTTTCTGCATAGTCGCTTTCATGGGCAAGCAGTTTCAGGCTTAAAACATGTCGTCCTTTGTTTCAAAGCTCGTTTGCTTTTGGATATCAATGAACGGGGTCGTACTATTCCTTTGTCTTCCTTCGCCTCCAAAAAGCTGTTTCAGACCTAGTCTTCCTAATGACCTTGTGCCTTCGTAAATATGAGCGTAAAGATAATATTGTCCCACCAAAAGTGAGCGTCGGCCAACTAATGAACTAATGTATGCTGTTTTCTTCATAAGCCCATCAAAGATCATCAAGCCATATTTGAAAAAAAATGACGGGGGATTTATGTACAGTATGGTATTTATACCTCAACAGTATGTCATATTTGCGGAAGAGTGGAACAACATGGCGTTGACGATCAGGGCTGGCGCAAAATCGTCCGCAAAACGAAAAGTAATTGTTTTTTGAGTCGAGATAAATCATCAAAATTCCTGAAAAATTCCGAAACTGAAACTGGAAATTTCTCTCTGAAAGCCAGAATCTTTTTTCGTACCAGAATCGGCCCGACGAGCAGGGCGCGAAGAACATTGGCAACTTTTTTGCAGTTCCCATGGACTAATTGGCTCGAAAAGGATCTAACTTAGATTTAACGCTTCTATAAAAAAAACATCAAGTACAGAAATTTGAACTCCTGCTCTCAGGATTTTATTTGCCGTTGCCACGGAAAGTTACCCTGCTGAAACAAAAAATGTTGTCTTTAATCGCTTTGAAAATTTTGCTAGAAACCATCATAAACAGCAAAATAAATTTCTTGACAGCGGTTATTTTGAAAGCATGCCACTATGCAGATTTAAAAAAAAAATTAGCCAAATAAAAATCTAAATGACGCAAATAGTGGGAGTTCCCAACGGGTGTGCCATTCCAACAAAGTTTTACGAAACCTCCAAGTACTAACAGGTGGTCGGAAGATAAGGTCATTTCCGGCATAACGGAAAAATAGAAGACATAATGAACAGCAGCCATAAGGAATGAAAAGCAATATACGTTCCGAGCCCCTGGAGGGGGTTGTCACATTACCCCCAACGAAGTGTCCTGGGTTGCAGCAACCCAACTTTTGCCTTCACGCACGGATTCCTCCCAACTGCTAAACTTGGGTGCTACGGAGTCTTGCGTTACTTGCGAAATCATGAAGAAATGTGGCTGAGTAGAAGAGGGGGGGGGGGGGTCATTGAGGATACAACTTCCTGAAAGACCCAATTTATGGACTTTTGCAGAGGTTATTCGTTGCATGACACAAGGAAAAAAAGGATGGCAAGAAAGTACTGGGATAATTTTGCCCGAGTGGCTTCATTGAAGCGACAACGGAGTATTGTAACTCTCTTGGTGCAATTATCTTATTGCCTTCACATCAGTTCCGGCTGCTGCATTCATATGATAGAAGGAGGAAATTCACATCAATGCATTCATCAGTTGAGTAAAGTGATGCAAGACGTTTTCATGAGCGAAAAGTTTCCGGTGGAGTGAGCTCTGTTTTTTCTTCTTCCATTTTCGCATCTCTTCCCCAATTTATTTGGCTACTTACAATGTGATACTTTTCCTTTCGAAAAACTTACTTCCTGGTCGATATCCTGTAACATGTGTGTAATAAATGGATGAAATGCATTCCTATTTCAGTCCCAAAAATCTGGACGAAAAGTTCTTTTAGCAATTATTTTTATTTTTCAAGCAGTTGAGCAGTACTGCACCCTTAAGATTCTTTGAGTGCTACTTGAATAACGTTCATTACTAAATGACTTCAATGAATAGCACCATGCACAGATTGCAGGAATGAATGCAATGCTAAAGCTTCCGCTTGGAGAAACATCAAGCGAATGAGTGCTTAAACGGAAAAAGACAGTTTCTCACCTAACTTGCTCTTTTTTCTGCTACATTATTTCAGCCTTACAGTAACACTTGAACTGCTCATTAAAATAATTCTTCATCCCTCTCATTGTTGATTAGAAAAACTATGATTATTTTTACGTGTAGTCTAATTTCATTCCGCGTTTGGTCTATTGACCTGAAACAGTCCAAAATAAAATTCAGTAAATCAAGTAATGCATGATAAAATGCCCTGGAAATATTTTTATCAATTTCTGTAGTTATTGTTCACTGACCAACTGTTGAAGAAAAAAATTCACCAATATATGCTCACAAACCATCTGAATCGCATATTTTCGGACCTAGACGGTGTCAAAGATGAAATATCCATCGTGACGCCTGCCAATGAATAAAAATTGTCGAGCAGCCTGTGCAAAAATGCGTACGGTACTGATTTTTCGGCCTAGAAAGATTGAATGCGAACATTTAGGTTTACTGTTGGCCTTGGGTCGCCGTGCAGAATTCGATCAATCTTTTTGTTCGCAAAAAAGCCTTATTTGTTGCTGGGAGCGGCATTCATAAAATGCATCGTAAAACGGCCGTAAATTGTTATGCCTCTGCTTCGATGCTTTTCGCGATGATATTCAGTGACGTTTCGCGCCTGCTGGCCACCGCAATTCTGGCATTTTTCGGGCATGGAAAATTTAAATTTTTTTCGTTCAATTATTTTTCGACACAGAGACACGTTCGATCGAAGATTTTCGTGGGTGGAACCGGATTCCCATCACCGGGCGACTCTGCAGGCCTAGCAGCGAATTCCGCCGACAGCCATGATGAAAAGACTGCATCCGCTTCGCAGCAGCAGCAACAAAAGCCTATCCACGTGAGTCCCAACGAATTCTTCTTTTTCCCGGATGCTTCTAAAGGCAAATGATTTTCGTTTCCCGGAGGATTTTCGGGTTAAATAGTTCTCCCGTCTTGTAGCCTTACGATTTACGGACGACGCTCTAGGGACTACTAGAGGTTAAAATAGTGTCACTTACCTACTTGGTGGCTGTGAAAGAGCGTAACAAGGCGTCTTTTTAGATATGTTATTAGCAGCAACGATTATTATTTTTCTTTCTGCTGTCCGGTTGACGTTTACGAAGTCCAGATCAGAGGTTGTCGACCTTCTTGACTCGCGGATATTTTCCTGAAATGAAAACACGCAATCTCACAATTGGAACATTTTTCTCGAGACGGCCCGTCATTTTTATACCTCGTTTGCCTTGACAAATTTTTTATACTTTGCTTTGCTGCTTTAATTTTACAGATTTCCAGCAGAGATTTGAGGATTGAATAGATCGGGATTTCACGATTGAAGTGGGACACGTTTGCTACACCACTACCGTTTTGAAAGCTTAATTACACCTACGCGCATGGGTAGACTTCTCAGTATCGATTGATTCCTTAATATCGGATTTATTTTGCAAACGTAAACTTCGGTGGAAATGATTAAAAATCGGGGTCGAAGTCACGAGAAAGAAGAACAAGAGTAAACATGTAGAAAAAGGGCTCAGGTTGAGGACAACGATAAAAGATGGTCTTTTGAAAGTTAGGCGCCGAGTATGTATGAAAATCGTAGCATTTGGAAATTTAAAGATTCCCATCAAGTACGCACTAAAATTTCATGAGATTTCAGTGAAAGCTCCGTGTGATGCATGAAACTCGTGAGGCATTATACGTGAACACTACCACATCTCCGAAGAGACCCAACCCAGAGGTTTGAAAACCCTCGCTCAGATAATCGACGTTAATTTGTGCATCAACGTTGCCAAGTACGCGCTGGAACGTGTCGAAGCATCCGTTACTTATTTGGAAGAGATAGCAGTCGAATTAATAGCAGTCGAATTAATTTTCTGTCTTCCCATGCCAGCATTGAGTACGTCTGCTGATATAATGAAATACATTGCCAAGGGAAATTGATTATTTTCCGTCGCTATTCCGTCCTTAAACGGGGAAGAAAAACCTGGTAAAAATTGCTGCGCATTCAGCCTGAATTATTAATACTTGGAATGGCGGTGAGTTCGAAAATCATAGTTTCGGCAATATTTAAAAAATCATTACGGCTTTTATTTAATATTGTTGATCGGCGAGTTTGGCCATTTTTTTTTACAATAATTCGTAGATCTGAAAATAAAAGCCGTTCACACAGTTTGAAAATGTGATCGGAATCGGTTCTTTTTTCCTGAATGCGATTAGCAAATCTTCTGATTGGTTTGAGTACTTGCGGATAAAAAAAAAGGGAAATCAGTCAAATAATTCCTCGACATTCACGCATCCTTGTTATCAAAAACAACACAACCTCAGAAATATACTCGTACACGCATAATGTGAGCGATGTTGAATAATTATCCCTCATGTCCTGTCGTGTAAAAATCAGTTCGAAGAAATATTTTGGTCGTGAATGAAGACATGATTCCCTCCTTTCGATGAGGATTAAATAAAGTCTTCTTTCATTCACAACACCCAATTTATCAAGAGGGCAGAACATCGGAATGCTAAATGCCTGCTGCGAGATCCCTGATGATCTCCAATTTTATCACAGTGAATGGATGAACCACCGACACTTTCTCGCATTGTTCCGCAGAAAAAGATATCTTATTAGCAGCAACGATAATTATTTTTCTTTCTGCTGTCCGGTTGACGTTTACGAAGTCCAGATCAGAGGTTGTCGACCTTCTTGACTCGCGGATATTTTCCTGAAATGAAAACACACAATCTCACAAATACATTGGAACATTTTTCTCAAGACGGACATAAAACCCTGTCATTTTTATACCTCGTTCGCCTTGACAAATTTGTTAGACCTTGCTTTGCTGTTTTCATTTTACAGATTTCCAGCAGAGATTTGAGGATTGACTAGATCGGGATTTCACAATGGAAGTGGGACAAGTTTGCTACACCACTCCCGTTTTGAAATCTTAATTACACCTACGCGCGTGGGTAGACTTCTCAGTATCGATTGATTCCTTAATATCGGATTTATTTTGCAAACGTAAACTTCGGTGGAAATGATTAAAAATCGGGCTCGAAGTCACGAGGAAGAAGAACAGGAGTAAAAATGTGGGAAAAGGGCTCAGGTTGAGGACAACGATAAAAGATGGTCTTTTGAAAGTTAGGCGCCGAGTATGTATGAAACTCGTAGCATTTGGAAATTTAAAGATTCGCATCAAGTACGCACTAAAATTTCATGAGATTTCAGTGAAAGCTACGTGTGATACATGAAACTCGTGAGTCATTATACGCGAACACTACCACATCTCCGAAGAGACCCAACCCAGAGGTTTGAAAACCCTCGCTCAGATAATCGACGTTAATTTGTGCATCAACGTTGCCAAGTACGCGCTGGAACGTGTCGAAGCATCCGTTACTTATTTGGAAGAGATAGCAGTCGAATTAATAGCAGTCGAATTAATTTTCTGTCTTCCCATGCCAGCATTGAGTACGTCTGCTGATATAATGAAACCCATTGCCAAGGGAAATTAATTATTTTCCGTCCTATTCCGTCCTTAAACGGGGAAGAAAAACCTGGTAAAAATTGCTGCGCATTCAGCCTGAATTATTAATACTTGGAATGGCGGTGAGTTCGAGAATCATAGTTTCGGCAATATTTAAAAAATCATTACGGGTTTTATTTAATATTGTTGATCGGCGAGTTTGGCAATTTTTTTATTACAATAATTCGTAGATCTGAAAATAAAAGCCGTTCACACAGTTTGAAAATGTGATCGGGATCGGTTCTTTTTTCCTGAATGCGATTAGCAAATCTTCTGATTGGTTTGAGTACTTGCGGATATTAAACAGGGAAATCAGTCAAAGAATTCCTCGACATTCACGCATCCTTGTTATCAAAAACAACACAACCTCAGAAATATACTCGTACACGCATAATGTGAGCTTACAACTTATTAATAGGGAGTACAGGACAGCACATTTTTAGTCAAGCTTCTTTATAAAACCAGCACTTACTTCTGTACTAAGGGAGGAAAGCTACTCCTAATTTATTTCAGAAGAAAGTAAGTGTTGACGCAAGAAAGAAGGTCACGGAATTATCAAGTGACACAGTTGGCGTAATACTCATGTGATGTAAGCGGAAAGAAAACTTCCGCAGAATCGAAACCCGTAGGACCGAAACGTCCTCGGGCAACGGTTTCGAGGAAGTTTCGCACTTTTGATGACACAGGGAAGAGACTTTCTTGGGCCTGTTCTTCACCCTTCACTTGTCGTTGTTCTCCTTCAAAGGTAACTTGGATCAAACAGCCTCACTACAATATACTGACGTCAGGGAAGCGAACTTTCATCCGCGACGACCGATTCCAGGCGCTTGACGGCGGCAGGACCGGGGACTGGGCATTACAGGTCAAGTCGGTTGAACTTGGCGACGGTGGAACTTATGAGTGCCAGGTGAGAAAGTTGTGCTGGGAACTCTTTTTTTTAGTTCAAGAGATCATTCCTTCACGACAATAGATATTTCTTTGATTGTAAATCGAAGAACAGAAATAAGCGCCGATGATAAGCAAGAACCTCACGTAACAGAACTATAGTGCGAATCATTCTCCAAAATATCAAGCTCAGAATAGCAATTTTCGCAGTGCAGTATTTTACTGCTTGTAAATTATGTTGTTGGGTCGTTTCAGACGAGTCATCTTGAAAATTTTCTTGGCCAGGTTTGCCTGTGAATTTAATAAATAAATGAAAGTTGAAAATTAAGTTTCGTCGTTAAAGTATTGAAATAAATTTTACTGTTCGTTGAGTTTTCTTCGTCCTTCAATTTTTGGAACACGCGTCTTTGAGACGATTCATTCAAACCCTCGATTGTCTTGAGAATTACAGAATCGGAAGAATCAATACATGTTAGAACTGAGAAAATTTTGAAGTTTCGAAAATGAACGTCAGACATTTTGCAGATTTTAACGGAGCTTTTCTTGAACAAGAGGATCCCTTCTAAAGAATGGAATAAAACCTGTTCTTTATGTTCCTGTTAAATTTGAATTCGTGTTTTCACCATTTTCATGCGTATATAGTATCTCATATTTTTCCACAAAATCGTGTACAAAAGCCTTGTGTGTACAGTATTGTATGCAAATTTGTTATATTCTTCGAAATTTTAAGGGATTTCAGGCATGCATTGAGAACATGGTGAAGCTTTGCTCCTGAAGTCTTCGTTTTTATTTTCTAAAGAATACTTGACTTATTTACTATAATAGCTGAGCTAGCATAACCGGAACCCGTCGAAAAGGTTTCTCAGACCAATTTGAACTCTACATCCACTGGTCTATGCCTCTATGGCATCAGAATATACCATCAATCGGGATATTTCATATAAGCTACCATGTAACCTTATCGCAGATCTCTACGGGCACTGGGGTGATCTCGACATACGTCAATTTGAGCGTCATGAAGCCAGTGGCAACAATCAACGGCAGTAAAGACAGGCACGTAGATCTCGGCTCGACGATTACGTTGCAATGCACCATCACGAAGGTGAGTTAACTCCGATTTTCTAAAAAAAGACTTCGCGAAGAGCAGCAATGCCAACTCCAATCATTGGAATTATACGATGATCCGTGAAAACGCAGGCTCATTCGCAGGAAGATTTTCGGAACATGTAGAAAAGTATTTCCATTTTATGTCAACTATAAATCCATTATATTTTTTGAAACCCGTGATCGTCGGTTTTTTTCAGTAGCAAAACCTTTAGAAATTCTAAAACCTTTCTCGCACAAGAATAGCTGAGAAACCTTCCGAAAACATGACTGACTGTAGTTACACGGAGGATTCCAGACCTAAAAATTCTTCCGAATTTTCACTTGCAAAAATTCATTTGCAATCAAAACTTTGCAAGCTTGGGTCTCACAGAATTTTTCCTATTAGATATTAAAAATCCAGGAAATATGAAATTTTTGAATTAATTATTACGTAAAAATAATAAAATTTCCGTCGTGGAAATTTTCGCCAAAAGTTCGCCAGAAGTGGTACCGATTTTTCATTTACTGTGGAATTTGGGAAAGTGGGAAATAATTTCATTGCAATCAAAGCTTAATGAAGTAAAAATCTCCGGAAAACCCCGGGTTTTTGGTGGAAATTTTGGATCATTTGATTCAGGGTTAAGTACAGTGACGCTTTCGGCATTTTCTTCCCACTTCTTCTATCTGGCGTGTTCTGGGAAACTTCGTGAGATTTTCTCAAGAAAATACAAGAGGCTCAATTCCCAAATGATTGCGGATGTCTCTCGGGTGTTTGCTTTTCCTCCGTCGAGGAGTTATATTTTTGCGGATTTTTCCCTAATTTGGACTTTTCTGCGAGCTTTCTCGGAAATCAGATGCGTTGTATTTTTTATGCCATCTTTGAGCTTTCCCCGGAAGTCAACAAACAGTCTCATGAGTTCCTCTGGGGATTTTTTTACGCTGTCATTCGTGAACGAATGCATCGGGAGGGAGGCGATCAATCGCTTCTTTTCTACCTCGTCTGGCTTCTAGAAATGATCAAACCCAAGAGAACGCATTGAGGGGAAACTCAGAGTGACACTTCGGTAGACATTAATGTGCCAAGTCGTGATTGAAAATTGCGAGGATACGCGGAATTTCCTCCCTTGACGTGGTTGCTTCCGAAATCCTGGGCTTGTTTCTTTTTTGGCATCAAACGGAGGGACTCGAACTCCGCGATTCCAGTAGATGAAGCTGAAATAACTACGTTGACTGTTGGCATTTCCAGTCTTTCAGCGAGGCACGATTTTTTTTTTCATGATGCATTGAAGTTATTCTTAGACGCACCCTGAATGTTTCAGCCCTTTAAACTGAAAACAAGTTTCATAAGAATTCAAAATACGATGCTCACAACGTACAGTACCTGATGTCCATGATAAAATTCTGCTGGATCCAAAATTGCTGATATTTGTTCGAGCACATGTTGGTAACTTCTATTCTTTCAAATTAAACTTTGTTCGCTCGCATTTTCATGACTACCGTGTCACGTTGACTAATATTTGTAAATGCCAGATTTATTTTCTCGTACAATATTTGTACCTTGAATTTTATATTTTTCTGAATCTCTTCAGATCATGCTTTCAACTTACTCAGCGCTAGGCTGATTTTAATTTATTGAGTGAAGAGATACTCCTTAAAAAAATTTGAAATTTGCAGTGTCAAGAATCAAACACTTTGCATTGAAGTGTAATCTGGCTGAATGTCGGTGGTGCAAAGTTCGTGGTGCAAATATGCGAATTTCGGGTGATAAATTCCAAAAAATCTACCTTCATGCTGGGCACACTTAGTATTTCATGGATTACGTAGACTTGTTTGAGTTCTGGAGGTCTAGTTTAGCAGAAGGCATCAACACTGTCGGATTTTAAGACGCAGGCCCACTTAGCAGAGAAGATTTGTGATACCCCAAGAGGCATTCGAGGCAATGGAACAATCCCTTCGTATATAAGCCACATGACAGGGTTCTTTAATGACCTAAATGATGCAGCGATGGTGGATGCGGGTCAATGAACATCAGCGGGTATGAATACAACCGACTCCGCGATTCGAAGTTAACGGACCGCATTTATGGTTGGCCATATTTAGCATTGGGAGGGGACCTGTGCGTGTCAATATACGGGTCGCATTCCAGGAGAGGGGATAAGCTGGCAGAGATTCCCGAGATTTTTACGGCGCCCCGGAAACGGAGGCGTCCTCACGCAGCGTTGGTTCGATAAATGTCCCCCCGCGTACAGTATTTTACTGCGTATTAATGTCATTTGCGCCGAGTTTCCTGTCCTCTGCGGTAGTCCGAGTCGTTGCCTTTTCCCCATCGACGCTAAAACGAGGACATTACCCGGGACTCGTTCCCGACCCAGGTCACGCAGCCCGAGATTCCGTCGTTAATTTGACGCCTGTGCTGTTTTCTTTCGCACCGTCGCGGAATCTTTCTTTCCCATGAAGCGCATTTTATTCTGGCTCCACTCATGCAAGGCGCATATTCAGCGCGATGACCTGTTCTGGGTCGAGTGCCCCTCTCTTGTTTAGTCCCGCGTGTGCGTGGCGACTCGGCCGATCATGAATGGGTCTGTTTGAAAGCCGGGTTTTCCCTTTTCACCGCCTTCGGGTGAGCGCGAGATCAAACTATTGCCCAGTTGTATGAAAGGAACCCCCCTGAATCTGCTGTCATTACTCACTGCGAAGAAAACACTGCGCGAATTCATGCAATATCGGAGCCGTTCTCCGCATGGAAACAATCGGTTTGGATGCTGTAAAAGGCGAAGCTGACATCAAATATTTATGTGTACCTGATGACGTGTAGAATAAATTCGTCACTCTTTGGATCTTATTATTGAGGAACTGTTCAATTTTTGCTGTTTTTTTGCGCAAGGGCTTGAAGTTCATCTGTGGGGTTTCTTAAATTTTTTTCATATTTATGAATTTCTATGACAAGCTCAGTGACTGTTTTTGGTCAAACAAATGATTTTTTTCAAAAAGTATCGAAACGACATTGATTATACCGTATCTCATTTTTACAAGTTCGGTTCACATTGTTATCCAAATTGCTTCGGAGGCCTTAGTCTATATTTTTCATATTTTTCAGCAACTTCATTGGCAGCCATAAAATTTACAAATAACGAAGTTTCAGTTTTTTTCTTGCATGATTAGAAATTGTACCAGCGCAATCATTTTACCAGAAATTTTGAGTTGTACTTGCACTCCGGTAAGAATGAAATCGAGTTACAGTTTTTTTTTTATGAATCATTGAATGAGTTGCTGTAGAAGGATATCTCTATTCTTTCTGAGAGCGACAACGATTTGTATGTGATTTTAAAACCTTCGATGACATTTTCTAAATTGCATTGACTTAGAATTGTTGAAAGTACTTCTTACCATGAATACGGAGAAATTGCATATGGTGAGCGTCTGTATCAATCGCCAGCAGTCACTATTGATAGGAACTCCACGTGATTTCACGCTATTTCAAAACCTTTCTTGGGGGAACACTTTTTTCGGGCTGTTAGAATGCAATGTACGGATTCCGCGAAATGAGGTCTCAAACACCCTGTGACATAGAAAAATCTCCTGACTCCATGCTTATAGAAAGTGTTGAAATTTCTGCGCTAGGCTTTGACCTCGTATTCCAATATTATTTTTAGCAAGAAGGTTTTGTTGGCCGAAAATCGTTCAGAACTCTTTTCGACGTTAAAATCGATCGGCAGTACTTGGGAATATGAAGAGTTTTCGCTGGTTATTGCTTTTGCTCTTTAGAGGAAATGCGTCTCGTCCTCGGCTCCCGCATACGCCGTCGTCAATCCTCTGGTTCCTTTTGCCAATTTTCCCCACCCCCGAGATTCAGGAAAAATAACACTAGCCATGTTTTGTCGCGAATGAAGTTGCTGATTTTCCTGAGAGCCACACAACGCGGCTGGGTTTGTTCACCAGCGCGAACATCCGATCATGACCGTGCCCTCCCAGAAAATTCTTGGCAGACAACGGCTCCTATATAGGGATGATGGATGAAGAGCTGTCGCATTGCGAACCAACAGAAATACCCTGCAATTCCGACGACATCGGTGTCATGGAACATCCACATTGCATTCAGTGGCGAAAGCGTTTCATTGGACCCCGACGACGTGTCAATAATGTCTTTGTTGTTTCAAGATTTATAAGTTACGTATTTATGCGCGCTTACGCCGCAACTTGGGCCCGTATTCGAGAGATTTGCGTATATATTCCATGAAAGTTTAACAAACAGAAATAAAATCTTCCAGTGATGGGATTCAGCGAAAGATGCAAGGATAATACTGTAATAATAAAAATTCAAGTGGATGTTATACTGTTTCCTGAGCTTCAGGATGCCCTGAAATTCTGCAGGTCATTTCCGTATTTCCGGCGAAAATTTTCCCAGTTATTCGTGATCTTGAAAGGTTTTCCCACTTGAAATTTTATGGTAAGTTCTGAGTGCGTCCTTTGCGTGCATTCGGTCTAAAAGGAAGGATATTAAAAGAAAATGTGCATCACAGTACACAGGAATGCATGAATGATACAAACGCATGAGTTGCCATCCCTTTTTTCAAATTAAAAAATAAATAAAAATCACAGCGCAAGGCAGTTCTGAGCACGAATTACTTCTTGAACAGCAGCAGGTCAAATTGCATCACATAGTGGGGGTGCCAGGAAAGTTTTGCACTCTTGCGCATTTTGGTTTGATGATCTAAGGTCACCAAAAGACTGCTGAGTAGCCGAAGTCCAGAAAACTGTGGAAATGGAAAACCATTGTTTCCAAAGTCCCTTAATAAACTAATCCTATGGCAGGGATGTGGAAAAAATGCCACCCAGCAGAAAATAATCTTTAGAATACTTTTCCCCCAGATAATTTAAAAAAATGACATGTGGGGTTCCTCCTGATTTTTGTTTCTTCTGATCATGCTAGGTATTTATTTTATTTTTTTACCTGTGGCACATAATTGTGCTAATAAATCCTGGCTGTGCCACGCAAGGGTTAAAGCATGAAGTGTTCAGCCTGCTTCCAGATAATTTTACAACTGATTAAATTTTGAGAAAATCTTTGAGGAGAAATCCTATGACGCTAGCAATGTTTCCTGCTCCTCTGATACTTGGGAAAGGGTCGTTTTTATCAAGATTTTTCTTCTTATGGAAATTCGCCGGTATAGAGCACAATAGTTGAGAAATCAGTCGAAGCTGTACCTGACGTCCGGGAAAGAATCGCTTTTGCCCGGAAGTTGTGACAAGGCTGGTCGAGGTGGCATTGTTTAATTTACTTTCGACCAGACCTGGAATCGAGCCTTGCAATATCGGCAAGCAAGGTCAGATACGACGAGGGATGATTGAAAGCAATGCGCAGGTATGTGATAGTGAGCCGGAATGTCGCGTGACAGTTGCCGCAAGGAGCATTTGATTGTTACCTGGACGCCGCGGAAGTTTCCAGCCTGGAAAGGCCCGAGCTGTGCCCCGTGACTTTGATGAATTGAGGTCGGAATAGTGGACCCATGGGCGACCCAAGAACGATGGTGAAAAATGACCAATTGCTCGTTTTCGGGCAACCGGCATCCATCTGAAGGGGTAACTTCGCTTCTTTGCGCTTTATGTATCATTTGCGGGCGTTGTCATGCGGCATGACTGTCGTGAACTTGGTTTTTACCCTGTCGTTTTCCAGCCTTTTCGCGAGAAAGTTCGTGTTTCTTGAACCTTGGAACGTTCCGCTCCACGTTGATTTATTTTTCATTTTATTTTAACAGCAGTTCATTCCCTGTGTAGCCCGCGACATGACGGCAGTGATACGGAACCCTCAGCACCCGCGGAAGGAACCCGGTGAATGCTGCAGTCATGCCGCCTAATTTTTATTCTCTGTGCTGAATTGGCAGAACAGAATTTATTTTCCTCGAGAAGAAGCTCGGCTCCGTCGTATTATGTGTTGGGGTTGATTCCGGAGACACGGGGTATACCGCGAGGAAACAGTTCCATTATTCCGAACTTCGTTGCGACGGGCTGTCAACGGGATGTTTGGAGCCCTGCGGGGATTCCCGGCACGCCAAGTTCGTGAGATTGAACTCCGTGTCGCATTTCCGGGGAAAATTTGCATTCGATTTCCCGGCAAAGCTAGTTCCGTTTCCTAGTGAGGCAATTGCCAGAAACTGAGCTAGAAAGCAGCTGTGGGAAAAGCTGGTGCTACAGTTGAGCGCTACCCAAAAACAGCGGGTTCGTTAACAGCGCTTCCGAAGACTAATGTTTATACTTCGGCATCTATATAATATACTTACTCCATGAAAAATGGAAAATTAAAAATTTGAAAGCTAGAATATTGTATGATTGATGAGAAAACATAATATGGAGTAGCATGATTCATTTCCATCGTCTAATGCTTTTTCTTGTGATATTTGTCCGTTGTTATTATGTGTCACGTTTACGAAATTATGTGTTTTAAGCTTCTTGATTTTATGCTCGAGTGAGGCATTAGAGCATCTGAATTTCAAAAATACTTGACGAAGACAAAGATTTAAACGTATGTATTTGATTCCAATTTTTTGAAACTTGAAAAAATTTGGATTTATTTTTTTGACACTGATGGTTCGTCTTGAACATGCCAAGAGTTTTATAATATCGT